CCTATGGCCCCCGCTCTTCCACGCCTAAGTTTCCAACTTCGGTGTGCAACATGTCGATTTCCGTGGAAGTGGGACTCCTCAGTGGCAGGACAGCTACAGTGAAAATAGGCTTGAATGGAAGCGTGAGAACGTTGAAGCGTCGGGCGCAGACAGCACTCGGAGTCGGAAAAGGGCGGCTGTTGGACCGGTCTGGAAACGTTCTCGACGATTCTGTATCGGTTAAGCGTGCTAAGCTGCAGAATGATGACAAGGTGACTTTGCAAATCAGCAGGGTCCAAATCAATACTTCTGATGCTGCTTTTGCTACCGTCGTGGGTGATGGATCCACCGTGACCTGGGGTGACGCTGACCTTGGCGGCGACAGTAGTCATGTGCACAATCGGCTGAAGAATGTGCAGGAGATCCAAGCCACTAGCAGCGCTTTTGCAGCCATTCTTGGCGACAGATCGGTCGTGACCTGGGGCGATGCTGCCCGTGGTGGTGACAGCAGTGCCGTGCAGGATCAGCTGAAGAATGTGCAGCAGATCCAAGCCACTGACAGCGCTTTTGCTGCCATCCTTGTGGATGGATCTGTCGTGACCTGGGGTGCGTGTTTCAGTGGTGACAGCAGTTCTGTGCAGGACCAGCTGAAGGATGTGCAGCAGATTCAAGCCACTCACGACGATGCATTTGCTGCTATTCTTCTTGATGGATCGGTCGTGACCTGGGGGAATCCTCCCAATGGTGGTGACAGTAGTGCTGTGCAGGATCAGCTGAAGAATGTGCAGCAGATCCAAGCCTCTTACGCCGCTTTCGCTGCCATTCTTGCTGATGGATCAGTTGTGACCTGGGGTGCTGCTCGCTATGGGGGTGACAGCAGTGCGGTGCAAGATCAGCTGACGAATGTGCAACAGATCCAAGCCAATGACACTGCTTTTGCTGCCATCCTTGTGGATGGATCTGTCGTGACATGGGGTGCTGCTCGCGCGGGTGGTGACAGTAGTGCTGTGCAGGACCAGCTGAAGAGCGTGCAGCAGATCCAAGCCACTGCCAGCGCTTTTGCTGCCATCCTTGCAGATGGATCTGTCGTGACCTGGGGCACTCCTTACTGGGGTGGCAACAGCAGTGCGGTTCAGGATCTGCTCAAGAATGTGCTGCAGATCCAGGCCAATGCCTGCGCTTTTGCTGCCATTCTGGGCGACGGATCCGTCGTGACCTGGGGTAGTTGTTGGCACGGTGGTTCCAGCAGGGCTGCGCAGGGTCAGCTGAAGGATGTGCAGCAGATCCAAGCCGCTCACGGTGCTTTTGCAGCCATTCTTGGCGATGGATCTGTCGTGACTTGGCGCGATGCTGACAAGGGTGGTGACAGCCGTGCCGTGCAGGATCAGCTGAAGAATGTGCAGCAGATTCAAGCTAGTCGCAGTATCCATTCGAAATTCCAGAGCGCTTTTGCTGCCATTCTTGGCGACGGATGCGTGGTTACCTGGGGTTCTGGAAGATGTGTCGCCGGCGCTCTTTCTGCGCAGAATCAACTGAAAACTGCCGGTCTTATAGATTTTGAGCAAGTTGCATGCGGTTTACATTCGGCCTTTAACAGGTTTGAGGTTTAGGGACCCTAAACCCTAAGCCCTAAACTCTTAAACCCTAAACCCTAAACCCTATAAACCTTGAAAAGCGCCTATTATGCTTAACATAAGTTTTTGAAATCCGGGTCCAAATCTGGTGCAACCCTCGGTGTCAAATTTGTGGTTTTTTGGGGCCAAACCCGTGGTTTTGGGATTCCGGGGACATAAGTTTCTCAAATCCGGGTCCAAACCTGGTGCAACCCTTGGTGTCAAATCTGTGGTCTTTTGGGGCCAAACCCGTGGTTTTAGGATTCCGCGCCTGGTTGAGAGGACAAAATCAGCAGATGCGCGCCGGCCAAGTGGGCAGAGTAGGCGTGCCAAAACCTTCCATGAGCTACCTTGAAACCTTGACCGGACCCCGCCCCGTGAGGCCCATTGCCCTCAAACCATTAAAGTCCCGAAATACCACCTACAACCAGTCCGAAGCAAACCCCCAGCGCTTCAAAAAAGCAACCCTGAGCCCTTTAAATAATCCAACAGTACCCAAAACCACCATAAACCGAAACCTTCCAACTTACAGCTACGGAGATCGAAGCCCAGCCATGATCCTGGCAAAGCTCTACAGACCTGTCGATGCCGAGCGATCCAGGCTCGGCAACCATAATTACCATAATGCGTGAGCTAATTCGGGAATTTTTGGCAGGTCTCGGTCCCAGGACCGTGAGAGGCATCCGCGAGCAAGGATATGCGAAGAGTGGCCATCAATTTTCATGACAGCAGTAGGTGTTGATCCTGAAGACATGGCGGCCCAATTGTCAGAGCCCCTTGTGCTCCGGCTTTATCATGAATATGCTGCTGTTCTGACCCATGCCAAATTCTGGAAGATGGTTGCAGACAGTCAGTCTTAACTCAACTGCTCGTGGGACGACCGAGGTACTGGCCACGGCATGCTCAGGCTCGGGTTCGCCAAGCTTTGCTCTGCGTGCTTTGGTGGGCCGGGAGAACTTCGTTGAGCACATCTCTTCGGAAAGCCACGAGCCTTGACATGCAGAGCAGATCTGAGAGTATTTTTGGGGCAGGGCCCACGCAATCCATCATCATGTGATTTGTTGGTCAGGAGCCCACACGAAAGTGGTTTCTGGCGAATCACCGCGTGGGCCACTGCTTTTGTGATATGCTTTTCGCAAGGACTGCGTGCTCTGCTGTTGTGCTTGCCTGGAGTGCGTGATTGGCTTTCACAGGACAGGAGGCCTTTGTGCCACCCATGGACAGCATTGCGAGCCTGCACCTCTTCCAGGAATGCAGGCCGTTGATTGCGGCGGTTCTTTCCGGAGCAGACCTTTGCACGTTTGACAGTAGCATATCCTTGTGAGGCCTACCGATCAGACGATCTTTTCGTGGCTGGATTTGTGTGTAAACTTTTTTCTCAAGAATCAACGTCCCGATTCGGAGAGCGCTCGGCGGACATGACGGACATGTTCACATTGCCCGATCATGCGCCTTGTCGAGTCATATACTGTCTTGATGAGAGTTCGTGTGCGTGTGTTTAGCAGGCAAACTCAAAGTAGACATGCCACGTGTGTGCACTTTACACTTTTCGTCACCCTGCTGTCAGGCTGCTGTTGTTGTATCCGATCCCAGGCGTCGCGAGTGAAGCCATTCCTGGAATGCAGCCGCTATATTCAGGCATACAAACCCAAGCTCCCTGACTAAATACTGTGCATTCTCTTGTGAAATTTGTCGACATTTGGGCCTTGAGCACTCAGGACAGTCATCCTCGAAAACGTTGCGGCTTGCGGTAGCAAGTCCAGACACACACTGCCCGATGCCGAGTACCAGGCTCGTCCCATGCGCTGTGCTCTAGGGATGGGGCCAGGGTAACTTTTGTAATTATCGCCCGTCACATCGCTGCGATTTAGCTCTCATAGCCTCATAGCCGCAAGTAGTTGTCGGCTTACATGCGGCCAGCTGGTGGCAGCAGTAATGTTGCATGCTTTCGTGGCACTTGCAGCCCGCGCATCAGCTGCGAAGACATCGAGCTCCAGCTTGAGCAGGGGTCAATCTGGTGACTCAGTGGGCGAAGACTCGCAACGCATACGGTTGCAAGCTCGTTCCAGGGGCAAAAGCCACAGTGACGCTATCAAAGTTGGTCTGGCTAACAAGGCGGCTAAAGCGGCCGTTGCTCATGCTCCTTCAGAGGACGTGCAGGAGAGACGTCGTGTCTCGACCATTGGTTTTTCCTGGTGGTGCCGGGGTCGAAATTCTGCGAACCCACGCCGAGTGTTCCTTGGATGCGAGTACTCAGGCAGTGAGGTGCATGGCAGTAGTGCAACATGCGGTGTGAGCCTTGCTTGCTGGACCTGTTCCGCCTCCAAGGGATGTGTTCAGCCAAGTGGAGCTGTCTGATGGCCAGATTCTTCCATACCAGCAGACGGCTAATCGTGTCAAGGGCACTCTGCGCCTTAATAAGCTGGCCTGCGTCAGCCACTTCCATGCACAATCTGCCGGGCTGCTTTCGTTTGTCTCTGCTCAGGCTGCAGCATAGCTGGCAGCAGCATCTTTTCCTGTTTTGCATAAGAGATAGCTCCACAGTTTCCTGTGCAGGAGGCGGCGAGTGGCCATGCCATCTTGACCCGCATCGCGGACGACACAAACCTGTGGTTGGCACCTCCGCAACCAGATAACGTGATCGTCGAAGGCCTGCCTGCAAAAAAGCACCAGGGCAAGTCCAAACAGAAGTGTCACCAACTGATGGCATTTTTGCAGCGACTCTCGATCCGCTGCAGCGCTTCGGACACACTGCAGACAGTTCAAATCCACACTCCAGCGCAGGTTCTTCCCAAGGCGCGAGCTGTGTTTGTCTGTACTCCGTTTCTTCTGAAGATTCCGCTTAACCCTGCAACCCCAACATCGGTTGCCCAGGCAAATGCGGCGACGCTGAATGAGCGAATGCGGCACTTGGCTGTGCTGCACTCCGGCAAGTCGTCTGAGTTGTTGGGGGGTCCATCCTTGAACACAGCTCTCCGGGCACACCCTTTGCGTGCGGTGGTGACCTGTGCAGCCCTGAGATACAGTTGTAGTGTGCACATGTGCTTGTGTGCGTGTGCGCATGTGTCCGTGACTCCGCGTGTGCGTGCATGTATGTCCCATGTGAGGCACCGACTCTCTAGCGGCCAATGTGGCCGCCCACGCCATGGAACAGCAGCAGCTTCTAGCTTCCGGGGACGACCGGACTGGTTACATCTACTGTTTTTGCACACACCATCAAGGATGCTTGGCTTCCAAGCCGATCATACTTGCCCAGCCAGGCATCGCATCAGGCGTTTTTTCCGCAAAAATTATTTAGCAGACGTTGAAACGTAGGGCTACTGCTTCAACTAAACCGATACTACTTATATTATTATTATTATTATACATAGGGTCATAGAGAAGATTCTCATTTAAGACCTGCGGCAGGGATGGTCCGGATGGCGCATGCTGCCCAGACGAGCCTTTTTTGCAGAAGATTCGAGAAGGTGCTGGACTCTTTGTCCCAGAACCTCAGGGTGGTCTGTGTCAGAGAGTTGCCGCTCAAGGTCCGCGAAGACATGAATTGCAATGCAAAAAAATTGGAGCATTGTTCCGGGTTCCTCGACGAAGACGAGCAGCACCTCATTATAAGCATGCTGAATGGCAGCTGGTCTGACGACCTCTCACAGAAAGCAGAGCTCACACACGTGTGCAGTGCTGGATGCTGCAGGGACCGCCAAGAAAGCGTGCAGAAGGTGAAGAAGGCACTGCAGATTGCTTTGCGCATGTGCGCAACACCACTACTGTACCGTTGGAAGCATGTGTCCCCTATGGCAGAAATGGTTCTCCGCGGACTTCTCATTCACAACCTCTGGCCCTACGTTTGGAGAGAATGCATGCGGGAGAAACATGACGTCGAAGTGGAGATTCCTGAGACTGCAGATGACCCGAACTTGTCGCCTGCAGAGGCTCAGAAGATCCGTTCAGCGAAAGTACTTCAGATGCTCGAAAGTCCCGATTGCATCGCTTCTTTCGCCAGGGCTGTTCTCCTGGTGCGGCCTTTGCGACTGTACGTAGACTTCGTCTCGCTGGTAGAGACGGTGCGTCTGCACAGGCGCCTCCACCGCAAAGGACTTTTGGCGGCTGGATCCGGTACCCGCCACGACGAGAACGATCTTGTGCACATGAACCTGCAGCTGGTGACTGGCCGCAGAGGATTGCAGGTGTGCGTAGACTTCCTGGAGTTGCTCCGTGCCAGCCCCGACCAGGAGGAGAATCAATGGAATGCGGAAGTGAACCTTGATCATGACAGCACCGTCCCCTCCGTCCTCATGGCCATGTGTGATGCATTCCGACGGCTGCATGCGTGTTTCCTAGGACTTCCGTGGCAGCTTTTCCAGGTTGTTGAGATGGATGCCGAACCAGGCATAGCGCACATGAGGCATCTTCGTCAGTCGTCTGGTGCTTGCAGCGCATGTCGTGACAGGCTGTTTGCAGAGGTGTCCTGCCAGCACTTAAGAGCTAAAGCGCTTCCGGGTTCCTAACTCTTAGCAGTCTGAGCAGGAGTGCACTTCGTTTCCGCGCTGCTAGTGAGACGTAGCTGCTCGAAGCCCACACTGTAGCTACATCATCCTGTTGCACCCCCCCCACCATCTAGCAATGCTGACTGCACCGGACGCGAAGAGACGCCGCACGGGCGTCGTTGCAAGGGAGCCATGCAGGGAGCGTTCTTCGTCGTCGGATTCACCTGATGTCATTGTTTCCCATGATCCCTCGTCGCACTGCGGATGTGACATTTCTGCCGAGAACGAGAACAGCGATGTGCAGGAGCATTTTTTGGAGGAAGAAGCTCACGAGCAAGAGGAGGAGGAAGCTGCCGAAGAAGATGAAGAAGTTGATTTACACCGGGAGCCAACTGCCTCCACGACGGGCAGTGCCCCAGTCCCAGCGCAAGGTGGTGAAGATGCAGCCGCAGGCCCTGACCTGCAGGCAGAGGGGTCAGGGAGCGGGTCGTGGATTGTCCTGCCGCCCCTCTCTCACAGCCAAAGCAATGGTGAAGGAAGTGAGTCAGAGGCTGACTCTTCTCACTCGGAAGTGGAAGTGGGGACTGGCCTTGTCGGTCCTGTCACACGGGCAGGAGGTGATGGAGATCACCGGGATCCTGGGCCACCTGCACCTACATCCCTGGCCAACAATCGTGTCGTGGTTCAGGTACGCGCAGGACGCAATGTGACCACTGTGAGTGCGACCAGGGAGACGGCTCGGATTGCCGTCGTTGTCTACGGCAGTGCCAATGATGTCGTTGTTGTGCACATGCCCCCGACTGCTGGATAGAATTTCATGATGGAAGTCCAGTTGATAAGGGCACCTTATATAATCCGTTTCGGCTGAAGAAAAAGATTGTGCAGAGTGTGTTGTGATCGCTGCCTCAATGCTGCAATGCCAGCGTAGTTGATCACGGCTCAGTTTCATCAACTCAGGTATACATGAAGTATGTGCTGGATGGCAACATTGACGACAGGCAGAAGGAGGCACGCTTTCAGCAAGTCAAAAGCCTTCTCCGTGACATTCTGATTGAATTACCGGCATCCAGCGTTGAAATCGAAAAGATGCACGCCAACACTTTGTTGGACAACAAGGTCTGGAGACAGGAGGCAAAAGGGCCCAGCAGGTGTCAAATGGACACGTACACAACTGGTGTGTCCTTGGAGCATGAGCAGCTCAAGATGGCATGCGAACAGCAGTGTTTGGGCAAGGGTCGTCGGCGGACCTTGAGGTTGCTACAGACACGATTATGCGATTCGTCGGGCCCAAACAACCTGGGCTTGAATGTGCGGAGGAAGAGGAAGAGCAAGCATTTGGAAGCAGCAGATGACGAGCATGCCGCAGATGTGCCGCAGCCAGCGTCGCGAAACAAAAGGTTCCAGCCCAAATTCGTTCTAGTCTAGACAGGAAACATTGTGTCATGCTCTGCTGTTTTCTAGTGTCTGCTTCCTGCACAGGGCCTGGGCTCGTCGCCGCAGCTGCGCTGGGACGCCGGTGAGGGCTCCAAAGACGCGGAGAATCAGTGCCTTCAATGCTTTCCAGATTGCCCAGAGGTAGCTTGCACAGATGAAACTGCTCAGGTTCTGCCACTGTCCAGTCTCGTTTCAGTTTGTCCTAGTCCTAGAGGTCCTAGCCCCCGTCAGTTCATTGGTTCTTGCTGCTTCCTGATTTATCAATCTCTTTCTATGATTTGCAGGAGCAGCATGAGTGGGTCCCAAGTTGGGGACAGGCGCGCTTTGGTGGAGAAGGACTCTGTTTCCCGCCAATGGCAGCGTGCGACTGCTGAGGAAAAGGCAGAGTACCAAAGGCAGGCAGACAGGATGCAGGCTGCGCGTGAAGAGGTCTTGAGTCAGTCACTGTCGAAAACCGAACTGGACGAGCACCCAGCTCTCCGAAAGTCGCAGATCTCGCGGCTGCATCATGCCCGGCTTGGCCACAGTGTTCAAGATCTTTCCCAGCACCCAGTATGGGACAGTGGCCTGAAGGTGGCTGGACACAACAGCCCCCTCAAGGAAGAGCATGTGTTGTCGGGTCTCTCCGAGGAAGACTTGCAGCAGAAACACAAGGCTTTGTTTGGGTTCGATCCTACCGTCGTGCCAAACCCGCAGCGGATGCCGACTTTCCACCGCAGTTGCCGATCCTTCTGTGCTGGCTTATGCAGGTGCAATGAGAATTTCGAGATAGTCGTTGACCTCGTTCGGGCTTTTGAGCAGTCATTGCAAGCGCGCAAATTGTCCGGGGAGCCGATGGTTTTATCGGTGCAGCCGATTCACGGCGAGAAGCAGTGGGTGTTCCTGGGCTGCGTGTGCAAACGACCGATGTTACAGCATGTTGTGGTGCACTTGTGGGCCCGGACTCCGGAACAGCTCTCCATTACAGTGAAAGACGGTGCTCCGCAGATTTCGACCATGCACCAGATATTGGAGACGCAGATTCGACAGCATGTTGGCGCCGGCAGGCCGCGAGACACCTTCCGTGTCGAGGTGCGCCAAGACTGGTCTCGCTTTGCCAAGAGTTCGTTCAACCTTCAATCCTGTGTGCGGCTGTGTGTTTGTTGCAGTTGCTGCCGTAAGCTCCTTGTTAAGTTTTAAACAGAGAGTCCACTAATAATAACAATAACTACTCAGAATAGCCAACTGACAGATGTGCAAATTTCGAACTTGCTCCCAGAAGCCCCGAACCTCCGCGTGCAGGTTTACTTTTTCCCGGACTGCAGCTGTGGTCAAATTGACGCTGACCTTGTTCTCTACCCGCGCGATGACAAGTTCTCAGACTCCATCGTACTGCCGCACGACACGGCCGACCCACCGAACTACGTACGTCGAGCAGCCCCTGTTCGTGGAAAGTTACCCTTCGGAATCGGACGGCCGCCCCAAAAGCCGGCCAAGAGATCCGCGACTGGCATGAAGAAACAGAAAGAGACGCGGGGATCTGGCAGTGAGGAAGAGGGGGAAGCTCCAGTGTCGGCAGCTTCTGCAGCGAGCCTCAGTCGAAATCCTGATTTTGGCTGTATCCGTGAAATAGAAAAATGTAAAACAATGTATGAAGAAAATTCTAGACAGGAGTTTACGGGGTTATAGTTAAAGTTATAGTTGTAGCCTTAGCTGTTGAAGATAGATAGATAAGTTCGGGTTTACAATTTAGTGCCTGCATAGACTTCACGGTGAAGTTCCCGACCCCACGGCCAGGCACGATGCCACTCTTGACATGGCCCCGGAAGCCACCAACGTGCCCAGTGCAGAGACAAGGCTGGAAGCAGATGATTTCGCGGCTACGTTGCCACCTGCTTTGGCGCGGGAACTGCTCGCTGGTGTTTCTGCAGAGGAGAGCCTGGACAATCCCAATGCCGCGGCCAATGCGAGTGAGTCAAAAAAGAAGCCACACGGCCAGCTTGCCACTGCTGCCGGCGGTGGTTGCAAGTTTCAAGCCACGCTTGGAATTATCGATGTTGGGCCGGTGCTGAGGAAAGGTGTTTCCTGCTACAACTGCGGAGCAGTCGTCGACAAGGGATGTCTCAAGTTCACATATGCATTTAAAAGAAACAAACCAGCTCGCAGCATTCACACATCTTGCCTGCCTCAAATTCCGAAGGAGCTTGTGCAAGCATCTGTGGCCACGTTGGAGAATTTAGTGCACGGGCACACTCGGGCTTTGAAGCCTCCTGAAGCATCGGCATGCCACGAGGCACTGCGTGTGCTTTCAGGCCGAGTAGCAGCATGATTGTTCGCGGCTGTGCTCCGCGTCGACGTCGTGGGGTCGGAATCTCTTGTTGGCAAAACCCCATGTACAGTGTTTGCCAGTGTTTGCCTTTGCAGACAGGCAAGCGATCCGTGCCAGCTCGTGTGATCAGTTAGAGTTGGGGTTAGTTAAGTTATATAGAGTAACGCGAGCTCTATGAACCACAGCTGTGTTTTGTTGGTCTCTCCCGAGCCGGTACATACGGTCGCAGTAGTTGCAAGTGCCGTAGGAGGATACGCAGACAGGACAGGGTTGAGGGTTTAAGGCAGGTTCGACGGGATCCTTTTGTGGGAAAGCGGCTAGGCATGTTCTCCGTTGGTTGTCCTGGACACTGTGGGTGATTCAAAACGAAAACTAATTAAAGTCCGCCGCGGCGCAAGCAGACGGACTCGTTGCACTGCATGGACAAGCCGGGCTACAGGGAAAAGTGATTCGATTCAAGTTGTTCAGATGCCCTCTGCGTGCTTGCGTGCTGCATTCATTACTGTCATTCGTGCACTGTCCGTTTCTGCTTCGCGCAGACTCCTCTGGATTTCATCTTGCGTGGTCGCCTGCACCGACCTGGACACGAGCCAGAAGCAGTCGGGCTGGAGTTGATTGAAGACTATGTTGTCAGGGTCTTCAAGCTGAGGCCTGCCCCAAGTGCAGAGATCAGTTTGCTTAGATCTTTGCTTCATGTCTGAGTGCTGCTTCCGTGTGCAATCTCCATTTTATGCAGGTCCCGCGACTTTGCTTTGGCGCAGACGAGAACGAGAATTTATTTTGTCATGATCCATGCCAGTGTTGGCCATGAGGATTCCCTTGCATCTTGACTGGACTCTGGACCAAAAAGGTCAGGTCCGAGATTTGTGATTTCTGTTGTTAGTCGCTTGCGATGCTGCGGGCAGCTTAGAACTTAGGACAAGATGCAGCAGATGCTGTTGAAGTTCCAAGCGGCTTGCGAAAGTCCTGAACTGAAGATGACTGTATGGGATGCATTGGACTACGGACGGACCGTGAGCCCACGAGATGGCCGTGGCGACGAGGACCGACGCGTGGTAGGTTTCTGTTTGGAGGTGGGGGGGGTGGGGGGCGGGTTCCCGCGAAAATCCTACATTCCAATCTCTCTCTCTCTCTCTCTCCTTATGCTGCCCACGATTTGAACCGGTTTGGGCGGGGGAGGAGGGCAACGTAAGCAACCTGGCCCAATACATGGGTGCTGGTTGCTTACGTTCCTGGATTTGGGG